CCACATCTGAAACCCTGTGTTTCTTACTTCGGGAATTATATAAAGAGTACAGGTTAGAGCAGGGCTTCTTAAAGTTTTTTTCAATCTCGAAACCTTTTTATTACTGAGATTTTTTTCGTGACCGCAGATATTAAATGTAAAATAAAGATATAAAAATAAATATACTTCTCTCCATATTTCACTTCTTTGGTAAACAATATACATATAAAACAGCAAACAAAATTAAAGGAGCAAAAAAAATTGAAGAAAATTCTAATGAGACAAGACGTGCTTGTTTTTTGCTTCATAAGTTAAATGTTGCGACGATATTTTACACTGCTGGACATAAAGCATCTTCAACATAATTCAACGTTGAACGGCATTTGGTTTTAATTAACGTTAAGGGGTGTTGTAACCCCAAAATCTTCAAAAAATTGTGATTTCGGATTTTTGCATTTTCAAATTCTCTACACTTTTATCTTTCTAAAAATAACGTTTTTTAATCTCTGTGAAATTAGAACTGTAAAAAATCTAGTTTTAATTTGTCATCGACTGCTTTGATGAATGAGAATTTATACATAAAAACGCGTTTTTCTCCAAACGTGAATTTTTTATACTCAATGTACCGTTTCTCAGGAGCTACTGCTCACAGGTATCTAAAATTTTATGGCATATTTAATAGGTTTCCTAGTATTTATTGAAATGAGCTTTTTGTGATAAATTTAGAAAAAAAAAAGAATTAAAAAAACTTTTTAGTGTGAGATAAGTGATAAATTTTACTATGCCTAACAAAATATTCTGTAAATTACTCTAAAATTCAATATGTTTCTAAAGCTCATTTCAGTATAATCAGATAGGTATACTTTAATTACACAAAAACTTTCAAGCGTGTATCTACAGTAGATTTTGAGAAGAGGTGCATCGAAAATGGGCAATTTAACATTGTTTGTATAGGGGTTGGGTTGCTGATACCCCTTAATGCCAAAAGAGTAGTTTTATAAAAATATGCGATGTTGAATTAGAGAAGAACATTTAATGCCATTTCAAAAAGGATGAGAAATGTAGTTCTAACTCCAATCCAGAATTCATCAAGGATTTTTGTGAAAACTCAAATTTTAAGTTTGAATCACTAGATAGCTTTACAAATTCCTTTTGAATTTTGCATAACAGGTAATTAATCTCATTAATATCAATTAATGTAATGTCTTTAGAAGACTAATCTCATTAATGTCAACGTTAATTTCTTTAAAAGTCTTATGAATGCAGTTTCTTTAAATCTTTCTTTAAATATCTGCAGCTCTATTATTGGTCTTAACAATCTATGCTGTTCTAAATATTTTTATAAATCGCGATCACCTTTATTAGTTTTCTTAAGTAGTCTAACATTTAATTTGTCTCATTTATATACTTGTGTAATGTGCAAGTAAAGTAACCGAAGAAAGATTACGAAAAAAGAAAACGAAAGATTAAGTGTAAGCAAAAATAATAAATAATAAAAATAATAATCATTTAGAAATGAAATAGTATTTTATTTATTTAATAATTTTCTTTTTAATATTAAAATGTACGCATCCTGGAGATTTGCTTGGCGTAAACATGAAAAATGACATCTTTCAAATAATAATTGGTTTCCTCTTCACAAATGCGAGTTCTTGCGAGTGAAGGGCAATCTTCGTCAAGAAATTCGAATGATTAACTTTGCGAGCATTTATGGAGAATGCCAAAGAAAGGGTTCGCTTTGGTGAAGGGGAAAAAGAGGGTCATTTAAAAGATGTTATCTTACATGTTTAGGAAAAACGAACTTCCACGATGTGTACATTAGTATAATGTTAAAAAGAAAATTATTAAATAAACAGAAGTGAAAACCTTATTTTATTTTTAAATAGTAAAGTGATTTTTGGCTCAGCCTGTATAACATGCTGTGGAGAGTTTCTATTTCCTAGTACTTGTACAAAATCTCATCTTTAAAAATTTCTGACGTATAATAGATATACATCATTGCAAAGAACTTTATTTATCGCTGTGAAAACTTTTATAGGCGCACCTATGGCCGAGAGGTTAAGACGTCTGCGTACGGGTAGTTCGACCTGCTTTAGGTTCGATACCGGGCAAACGGGTTGATTGCATGGTCGCTTTTCATAGTTTTTCACATGTGTAACGTAAATAGAACCAAATTTCCTCAGAAGGTCCTCCACGAAGATATTCCTCATCTTAGTTAGATAGCTTTCAAATAATCGAAACCTTTTACAAATAGCAGTCACTTTAGTTTACAATCATTTACCTGCCTAGAAACAATGTATGTATTAATAGTTTTCTTTACACTACGATAGTAGTAAGCTCTTAGTGGAGAATAATAAATGAAATCTTAAATTAAACTGAAACGCAAACACAGCTTATTAAATGATTTTAGAATTTAGAGGGAAAGAACATTCTAACAATCAGCGAATATAAAATGATATTTTCTTTTTTAAAATGATTTTATAAAAAAACATTATTTATCTTACATGCGCAGCCTAAGTTTTAAAAACTATATGAAAACACTTGGTCCTTTAAACTTTACATTGAAAGAAAAACATACTTTTTTCGCTCTAATTTAAAATATGGTATTTAGTTACCATTTTTGTAGAATATAAGCAATAAATAAATACCTCAGTACACCTAAATACATGCGAGAAAAGTCCTATTTTCCTGTAGCAGCTTCAAAGGTACAATGTGAAGCCGTTATACATGCGGGTCAGTATGACATGTGAAAAGGTACTGTATTTACAGTTGTGTAAGATGCACAACGTTTCTTAAAGGCAGTTGTTTGAAAAACAAACACAAGGAGATATTCCTAAGACGACTACTCACGATTCCAGGTGGTTTAATTATCTGTTCCACATATGGGAAGACTTCACAAACCTTCGCGAAAAAGTCGCAGTTTTAAAGGGTCGCAGTTAAATAAGGAAGAAAACTTGTTTATATTTCCCCTCTTTCTTTCTTTCTGTTTGTAAAGAATCAACATTTCTGAAAGAGCTTTTAAAAACGAAGACTGATCTTGGGAAATAAATTTTCGGCGGTCTGGTGGCCGAATAATATTGCTATGATGGAGCAAATAAGTCAAAGAATACGATATTCATGTTTTAAAGAGAATTCATAATTAAAAATGGTTTCTTTATAATCATTGCATCTTTACCAAGTATTAATCTCTCGGTCCTCAAAAGACGATCTCCAGCGGGAAAATCCTAGGAGGCCGGTCAGGTAGTCTAACCCTTTGCATAATAAAATTAGAAGAAACGCAATTCTTCATATATACTCTTAAATACTGCATGCACATCCTTTGAGCACAACATTGCAATTTCTAAGGAGAAAGTTACTATCATTTTAGCTTGTAAGGAATATTTTTGATTTCGGAAAGGTAATGAAACCTTATAGAGCATGCTTCCTTGTTTTGAATGCGTTTAACGAAAGTAAAAATTTACTAATCGCTATTGAAAGTAAAAGTAGCAGAACTTTAACTAAACCTCAAAACATATTAAACATATATGGCTGCCTTTGTGATTTCCACTTATTTTAAGAAGAATATAATTCCTATCAATGTTAAATCCCACTTTACAAATCTGAAAAAGTTTAAGAGCATTTTCATGACCGACATCAGCGTTTATTTTAACAGCGGATTTTCAAGAGAGGAATTCACCTAATCTGAAACTTGCTAATTAATATCAGAAATTACAATTTTATTTCTAAATTGTTAATTACAGAATTTGGTTTTTAATTGTTCGTCAGGATATGCTAATAATCCACATTTAATTTTTGCCACATTTAAGATCTTTAATAATTAAGCGCATTATTAGATAAATCTATTGTTTTTACTGAAAAAGTTATTGTGTCTTAATTGCAAGGAGAATGATTAGAACCCTAATTAGAGCAAATGTTACTTAATGCGAAACACGTTTTCTCAGTCCTAAGATTAGTGTAGTCTTTTTAAAGCACTATTTTCACAGTGCCCTCATATAAATATTTTATCCGAGAACCACTAAATGTAGTCGATTTCAGTATACTCTCTCATTTAAAAATGTGCATATAATCTCTCTTGAGAGAATTTAGAAAAAGATTTTCTCATGTAAGGAGAATCAGCCGTGTTTGCTTGCGGCATATGTTGGCAATAGCGTTATTATTATAGTATTAAAGATGTCTTGGTGCTTTAAAATAATATCCAGACTCAAAAATTGTCCAGGTATGGATATCTGCGAGAATTTCTTTTAAAAGACTGTAACTACAGTTTTAATACAAATATGCGGTAAAGAATGGTGAAGTAATATATCGGCAGCAAAAAAAGTCACAGTTCTTTCGTCTAGACTTATAGAGGATTAAAAAGATAATTTAAGACAGTCATTTAAATTAGCACGTAATTTGCGACTAGTTTTGCCAACGTGTATGAATATTGCCCATAATCTAAATTAAATCACAGAAACTTTTACCACACCTTTAGTTAAGGCTAAACGTCAAACATATTTTATCATTTCTCAAATATTAAATTAAATTTTCTTTCGCAGACACACTCTTTTCAAACTCTGCAACATTTCTACTTTCTCTTCTGAGCAAGTGACTGTATAATTATAGCATTAGAAAATGCATTTTGTTTGTTTAAAAGTTCTGAACCACGATAGATCCTTCTTCTTGCAGTGAAAAAAACATGCACTAATTTAAGTTGGTTTGATTTATTTGACTGGCAAAGCACTCTTCTTAAGGAGAGGACTTTCTAAAGCAAAATGACTCGTATCTATGCTACACATGAAGAAAACCACAAAAACGCCCTCTCATGGAACCAGCTCGTTTGTCTAGAAGGTGGAACCTAGAAGTTACCCAGCCTAAATGTGCCTTTTAGTGACCTAGGTGAAACTAATCAACGTTTAGCGAATTTATGGCAGCTGGTTGGCCCCTCAGCCTTAGTATTTCTATATTAAATGATACTGGTAATTTAGAAATAAATTGTAGTACACCAAATTTATAATACACAAGAAAATTTTTGAAATACTTACCTGTGGTAGATAAATTTCATGAAAGGAGATCGGAAGATTTTACCAAGCTTAGATCTCGGAAAAATCAGATAGTAAAGGGCGATAAGAGGTATGCAAGTTATGAGACTAACGCATAGCATGATCTTCATCACTGCATTGCGTCTCCTCCAAATTGGCAAACCTTCATACCAGATGGACGTCAGCAGCTGCTGGCAGTTGGGATGCGCAACGAACTGAAAAGAAGAGTGAGAACATTTGCAGTGAGTTTGCACAGTGAGAACGTTGCAGTAATTAAGACAAAAATGCTTTTAATATTTAAAATTGTAACTTTTTCCTTATCAGATCAAAATTGCAAGCATAAAGCAATAGTGTTAGCAAGGCCCAGTTCCATCTTTCATAATACTTTTACTCCTATAACCAACAATGCAAGGCAAATTAGGTAATCATTTTTATCCGAAACTCTGTTTCTAATAGAAAGAAGGTGATTGATTACTTTGATTATTTTCCAGTATACAATAGAAGTTTGCCGTATTTATTTTTTTAAAGAGTTTTAAATAATGATTAATTTTTTTTAAAATTTCAAATGCATTTTTAGAATATCCCTTATAAATTGTTTGTTCAGTGTCTAAAGCCGGAAAATACTGAAAGCTTTCCTAGTGCTTCATTATGAGGGAGCTGTATAAAAGTATTTAGTCAAGTGGTCTGAAGAACGCAAAACGTAGCATAACGTTTTAAAGATTTAAATTAAAAATATGATATTTTGACTGTCTCTGATAAATAAAAGAATTTTTAATGCATTTGCAGGAGAAAAATGCCTTTCACTCTCCTACACTATTAATATTATTAGATTACACACATATGATCTTCTGTCATGTAGACACCTTACAAGGTATTTTCTCCTTCCTTTCCGCATGCCTTCGCGGTGTAATTTTAAGCACACTCAACACGTATTGGAGAGATTCAGCAATCGAATCCCGGTGAGGGAACTGCACATTGTTCGCAACTTCTGTTTCAAAAAAAAAATATTGATTCTAAAAGTGACGCCCGAACTAAAACGTGGTTGGACGATAATTTGGTATCAGGATTTGGCGATTGGGTCTGCTAATCCGCAGTGGCTAATTGAAAGGGGGAGTATGTAAGGTATTTTCTCCCTCCTTTCCGCATGCCTTCGTTGGGTAACTGGAAGCATATTCGACGAGAATGCGAGTGGTCCAGGGTTCGAGTTCGGCAACGGCACTGCACAATTTTCATACCTCCTGCTTCAAAAAAAAAAAAAAAAAAAAAAAAAAAAAAAAAAAAAAAAAATTCCTGACAACTCTACAACCTTAAGTACTGAATACGATATTTATTTATGTTCACAAAAATACTGGCCACTTCAGTGCTGCCTTTAACATTAAATGCTAAGCGATACCAGTCGATGTAACTTTTTTTTTTTTGGTGTGTGTGTGTGTGTGTGTGGCCTGATTTAGAGGATATGTCATTCCAACAAGACGGTGCCACACTGCTGACGCTACTATCAAAATACTGAAAAAAGTTTGCTGAAAGGATAATTTCGCAAAATACAACTGCTAGTTAGCCTTCCAGAAGTTGTAATTTAACGCCTTCAGATTACTGTTTGTGAGGTTATTTGAAATCATTGGTCTATGCAAGCAAACCACGAAATCTTGAAGCATTAACAATAAACATCGAACGTTGCATTCGTGACATTAGGGCTGAGTTAGCATCACTGTCATCGAAAACTGTGTTCATCGAACTTGCTCGTGTGCGCTGAGTTGAGGAGGATACTTAAGTGCTGTTTTATTCGAAACATAATGCCATAAGTTGTACTTTAAAATAATATAAAGCTTTTGATTGTATTTGAAATGATTTTTATTTGATTTGATTTTAATCATATGATTTTTATTAGAAGCCTCTTTATTTCGCTTTGACGATTTCTTGAATCCAGGCTAAGGGAGTAAAATTCAAATTCGTTGTTAACTTTATACGTTGAAAGCATCATGTAATTGTTTACAAACTATAGTATCTTGAATACTAAAATTTTACTTTTTTTCATATTCACACTATAAACATTCTGAAAGAGAAGTGTTACATGTATAAAAGTATTTCATTTGCCCCGTTATGAGAAAGAATTTATCTGTAGATAAAAAAAGGTGCGGGCAAAAATGTATCCTGTTTCTTTTTTTTTTTTTTTTTTTTTTTCAAATTACTTTATCTGAAAGTAGCATAAATATTTGTATCAATGACTTATATAGCTGAAACCTTTTAAGTCTACATTTGCATATTTAATTTCAAAACTATTTTCTATGGTCAAAGCAGAGATCAGAAGGAGCTCCAAATTAACTATGAAAAGTCAGAATTGCATTTTGAAAAAAGAGAAACAAAGTGACAAGTTACTACATTTATTTCCAAAAATCTATAGCTTTTGCTAAAACTAAGTGCCTTTATAAAACTTTATAGCATATGAACAGTTGTAAGAGAATTTAGCATTCATTTGTTAAAACAGATTTACTCTAATAACTTTTCATAAAATATTTGTTCACTTGAAAACGTATGACAACTTTTAACATGGGCGAGAATTTTAAATTTGCAATTGACAGTTTATAACATTCAAACTTAATTTAGTACTTGTTTCAGTTAAAAAGTTTTATCTACTGAATTTTTTTAAACTAATGTTTCCAAGACAATTTGCTATCAAAACTTGTGAAGCCTTTTTATGTAAAATCCTAAATAATCCTAAATAAAGGTAGAAACTGAGATGTTTTGTTTTTAATAAAACATGGGATTTATAGTCTTTCAGCATAGCCATATGTCAACACAACAACACAGTTTGTACAACAAAATATAATTAAACATGCTTATAAGCTTTTAACGCTGCTAGTAATTAACAACATCACATATTTTATTAATAAAGAAAGTTTGAAAATTTCTTTTTTTTAAATTCTTTAATTAATTTAATTAATTAATTAAATTTAAAGAAATTAAATCAATAAAATTTAAAGAAGTATTTTTACGTTGGAAAACCATTCATTCACATTTATTATCGATATACCCATATGATGCTAGAAGAAGTAGATATTGGGTTACTCGGTCGAGAAAAAACACCAGAGCTTCTGCTGTCCAAAAAGCTGCGAAATAGAATTTTGAAAAGGACTCATAAGCTGAGTAACAGCGCATTATAGTCGGGCAGAAGATGTAAATGATACTAAAACACATGTATGACAAGCGTGTTCCTATCATCAAAAATATCACTATAACACTTCTTCAATAGGTTCTTTCTTTAGTTTTGGGATGCCTGTCTGTGAACCACTACCTGAGAAGAGGCAATCGGTTAAATACATCTTTGTTTAAGTGTTAAAAGCCTGCTTCCTGTAGTGATATACGCATAAGTGTCCTAACGTCTGTAGCTGCTTTCTTACCAATGAGCCTTACAAGTTTTCTTAAAAATCTTCTTTTTTTAATAAGCGGATCTGAAGCAAGTAAACAGTAGACAGGAAAAACACCAATGAACGAAATCGACAGCCCTATAAAGTAAGTTCAGAAATTTTCTATCATTTGTCCAAAAATTTCTCATAAACCCAAGCAGGAACTTAAGCTAGTTACATTAAATTAAAAGCAGAGAAGTAATTCTAAATGTAAATATGAACAAAATATGCTGCCAACAAGAACTAGACTGTAGAAATGTGTATGAAGGTATGGGAGATGAAATGAAATAAATAAAGATATATAAAGCAAAGCATGAATTGAATAGCAACAACAGCAGTAAAAAATCTCCTTTAACAATGTTCAATTAATGGATGTTTCTAACATTAAAGTATGGGAAATAATTTAAAGTTAAAAGAAATAAAAATGATAAAAAAATAAAAGAAAGGTCCGAATTTTTCAAAGTTTGTATTTCGATTTTATTACGTTTATGAGTAAACAGATTATAAACAGTAACTTTATGCAAAAAATTGAGATGGATAGTTCATAACTTGTGAAGAATCAAACGAAGACTTGAGAATAATTTAGATAGAAATGTCTTCGATAATTAAACTTATTTCCGCTATCAAAAGAAACGAAATATCTCTCGTGTTATTAATTTTTCATAAACCCAGATTTGAATTTCAGTACCAACAGAGGAACAAAATTGTTAAAATCAGGGAGATACAATAGTTGTTAGTTGGTACAGTCAACAAGATGGAGAACATCGTTTTATTAACAGCACTTTCATGCAGGTCAGAAACTAACTAGTACATCAGGACACGGAATCAGAAGAGGACAGCTTGAATGATTGTCAGCGGAAAAAGGTCTTGACACCAGGTACTGAATCTTCCGCATAAATTGGCTGTGAACAATTAAGGCGATAAGTTTTCGAATAAACGGAGTGAAACCAGTGAAATAAATTAGGTTAAAATCTCGGTGAAAAATACTGGGACATTTTGAGCAATTTCTATGCAAAATATTTAAAAATAAAGAAATCTATTGCTATCCATTCAGAACATTATCTCAAAATACCCAGAATCATACAAGAATGAAATCTCAAAAAAGAAGTTTAAATTGATCATTCATTAATTTTTCTCAGGCAACGCATAGTTTAAATATTGATTCGTTCAGAGATTCTAGTGACATTTTACAACAAAACGTATCTATTATACGGTGGAAAAAAAATAGCTATCAGCTCAATGGTACACCTATAAAGTAATCCGTGGGTTACAGAAAATAAAATAATTCACAGCTACATGAAGAGACTGAGATGAAACTTAGCGAAACAAACATTAGCTATCAGTTTTAGAATAGCATAAAATATTGCATATGAAAAAAATCTTTCATCAGGAGAATTGCACGATCAAGAGCTAGTCTAAAAATGAGCTGTCATAATACAGCAGGCAAGGTACTTCATTACGTAGTGTGGTTATACCTTAGCAGCTCAGATTCCGTGCTCATAAGTTGATTTCATGTTTATATATTACGAAAGTAGAGATTCTAACATTTGAGCAGATCTAACAGTAATACTTAACGAAATTGTGAATTGGCATCTCTGCAGATGCCTTTGAATTCAGTCATCGTGCTATATTCGAAAGGTTTTAGTCTACCCCAAGCCAGTCAACTGCCTGTCCCCATCGCTCATTTGTCAAATGATGTCTTAAAATCAGTCTCAGCAAATGGTCATTTTAAACATCTATATTTCCATTTAGAAACAAATTATAGCAGCTAATTTTCACACTCGTTTCATGCTTTCACATCATCACATGAATTCATAAAATGCTATTACTTGATTTATGCTATAAACTGATCATGTGAATTCATAAAAGACATACTACTTCTCATGGAATAAAGTGAGTGATATTTGTTGTTGCTTAGTGATAAATGTATTATCGTGTTGAGAAATGATCATGTCTTGCTGATATTTTGTTCACCCAAAGAAAATTAGTTCGGGATTATTTTCAAATTTGTATTGAGAAGCTGGCAGGCTTTCGGATAATAACGGATGTCTTAACTTATTTTTTTGATAAGTTTTTTTTTTTCATCTCAGTCTTTTTATGTCGAACTTTGAAATTAATGCATACTGATATTTTTCTTAATGATTTCTCCCACTGTTACTTTAAAAATAAATTTATAATTTTTATAAAAAGGTTTCTTTTGATAAAGTTTCAGTCAATAGTAATATGCAAAATTAGAATTAGGTAATTTACCTGTTTCTGTTCATATTTTAAAGCCAACTTCAATCTAGAGAGTGTTAATTTATCTGGATCATCATCCTCCTGAAAACTAGAATCAGTTTTCTTGTTGAGGACGGCTATGACTTCTTCAGTACTTCTGCACAAGTCCAGGAGATCACAAGAATACTTTTTGCACTGATTACTTAGCTCCACATAAATCTCTTTAAATTCATTTTCTTGCATAGCCAGATGTTCCAGCTCCCAAGATAACTGAAATAATAATTAAAAATTTTATTTCCTATTATCTAAAACTTAATTATAAACTTCTTATATTTCATAGTTAAACATCAAGCAAGTATTTACAGCATTTAGAAATGGAAACCATTTTATTCATTTCATTTAAAATGTATATGTCAAGTTCTGCATTATAATAAAATTTCTGCAAAGTAGAATATCAACAAACATGTAACATGTCAACATGTAAAAAAAAAACCCAACAAGCATGTTATTAACGGTTTGATGAAAGCAAATAGATGAAACTTAGCTGGCAGAAATAAAAAATATACATCAGACACAAGTTTTAAAGGAACTGTAAGTGAATACTTAGAATAACAAAGAAAAACGAAATATATCTGTGTTATAAATTTTACAAGTAAGAAACTTAGAATCATTAAACAAGTTTTTGTGATGCGGTATATGTAAAAAAAGGAGCAATACGTTCCCTAAGACTCAAACCTGGATCTTTCGAATAGTCGCCGAGTGTGCTACCGTTACACCACGAAGGCATGCTTGAAGGAGGGAGAAACTACCTTATATACTCCCCCTTTTTAAAGGGATGAGTGGACCCAGTCACCAAATTCTGGTGCTGACAAATTATGGTCCAACACCTTTTAGTTTGGGCGCCACTGTAGTGTAATTAGGTTCTTTTTTGATGCGGGAGACCTAAAAATGAGCAATGCCCTTGCCGGGACTAGAGCCTAGAGCTCTCGAATACGCGCCGAGTGTGCTACCGTTACTTCACGGAGGCATGCTGTAAGGAGGGAGGAAAGGCCTTATAAAACAACATCCTCATTAATGCACTTTCTATTTAAAAGAATATCCTTATCTTTGGAAGGGTTGTACTCTTTCTATTCGCGATTTCTATACTATTGAAATTCTGTTCAAAAGCGCCTTCAGATGAAAATTTTCCTACTTCAATTCAGAGATTAGAACTTTATATTTTTATTAATAAGGTTTACCCATCCTAAAACATGACATCTCTGAAGTGTATATTGCGACGTATTATGAAATATTTGTGATAACGTTTGTCTGCTAGTAGAAAAACTTCAGATGTTAGGGATGACTGCTTTTGATAACTCAGTTTACCTAAGTGTTTGAATGCTTATGTGAAGTTGCGTGGTCTCTGGTTTGATGTCTAGAAAAGAAAAGACATAAAGACATCCAGCAAATGAGATACGTTTCAAATTCTGTCATATTAGGCTCTTAAGAATGGCCAAGTATAGGATGGCTTTCAGCCTTAGATGTTTCTGGTCGAGTCAGATAAGCTTATCTGTATGTCATATAATTTAAAGTATTCTTGATCCTTATCATTAAAATTATATTGAAGAATATGTTGCATACACTATGATAAGTATGATAAACACATTAATCACACTGAATCAATTATTCAACCAACCAATTAAAATAATAAATTAATCTAAAATATGTCTTACAATACATGTTCGAGTTTCTAATTAATATCATTTTAGTAGTAATTAAAATTCTCATGGCCTACTTTGCAGCCGCAATTTTAATATATGTCTTATTCAATAAGATTTCAAGCTTCTATATGCTTTAATTAAACCAGAAGATTCCGAAGAAAACAACAAAATATTATAATCCATTCAGCAATAGAAGTAATGTTTCTAGCCCAGACAGAAATGATTAATCACAAAGTTGAATTAACTTATTTCATGACGTTTTGTTTCTTTTTACACAAGCTATTTGTTATACAGCTTACTCAATGGACGACAGTAAAGCTGCAGAATCATCTGTTTCTCTTTAATGAACTCCATATTCATTTTTCTTCATGACTGTGTTTACAGTTAATTAGATACACATTCTTTAAAAATATTCATTTCTGAAATATACGAGATCTAGGGAATAAACCAAAATAAATCTCTCTGTTTAAACATTTATCCTACAATTCAGATTATATATAACTCTCAAACTCATTGTCGTGCAAATCATTTGTAATATTGCTTTTTTAAAAACCGCTTGTATTGTCTTAGGAGACTCAATCCGTTCATTTTAATACTTAAACTAGACTGCAAATGCCGTATAATTTTTACGCTCAGATCAGGACAATTCCAGCATTTAAAATTTGCTTCAGAGTTCTGCATGTCTGTAACGATTCAAAAGAAATTTGAGAGATAATAAGGTAACATTGTAAGGATCTTAAGTTTTACTAACGTTTATTTGTTTTAAATCTTTACTATCACTTCTTATTTTCTACTTCAGGCCAGAATTAAAAGCTTTTAACTTATTTATGCAAATTTGTCTTGCTAACGCCAAGTACTTAAGTTGAGGCTTTTTGCCTAGCAAGAGAGAGGAAGGAGTTATTAGAAGCAGGCCGCTTGCCATAGTAGTTTTACTCGGTTGCTGGTTGCCTTCAAGGCAGAGGTTTAATCCTCTTGATAATTTTAAACGTATCGTAGTGTTAGCAGTTCTCTGTACTACATACGGCTTTTTGTTAATATACGGCCAATCTTGGAGTTAGGCACTTGTTTATTAATCCAAAGTTAGTTTAGTTAATATTTTTATATTCTTACGTTCAGACCACATGTGGTTGGTCTCTGTATTCCGAAGTTCCGGAAATCATTGTAAAGATAGAAAAATAAAGGGTTTCGTATACCCTTCCTATGTGTATTGTCTACTTCACAATTTATTGAACATAGCTTTAGTAAGCTCCCTGTTCCGAGTCAGGACAATTAATGTTTCCAAAGAAAGTAAAGAGGAATACTAATCCTGATAACATTTTTACATTTGTGTCAACCCTAGTGTTGTTGAAATTCATCAAAAACACTAAAACTTCGCTTCAGGCTAAAATCAACGAAGATTCAATTAATTGATTGTTTTAATTTTACGTTGCCATTTTTAAAGCAAAATTCAAAAGCTGACGAAATTAATGTCAATGAAACACATTTTTCAATATTATACAACTAAATCATTTTTAATTTGTTCATTATTATAAACGAAAATTGTTTTTAGTAAAAGGAACACTTTTCGCTTATTTTGCACTGAAGTCTAGAATATTTAATCATGTATAATGTTTTATGAAAATTTGTATCATTTTCATACTTAAAGAGATGGAAATCAGGTTAATCACACCAATTCGTAAATTTTACGTGGATTTGCAAATTTTACGAAGGTTTATTTAATTGAATTTTTTAAATCAAAGCACTTAATAATAGATAGAGAAAATTCTCTTTGAAAGATTTTCTGAGGAAGGCTAACCCATATTCTTTTTACATATAGCGAAAATAAAAATAATCCTCTTCAACCCGCTCTTTCACTAGGAACAAAACCGGAAATAAACAAGCAGCGGCTTTAGCCAATAAACCAGCTGCGAACGCACTAAATTAGTGGTCTAGCTTTAAGATACGTAATATTAAGCAAATACACTTTTTAATTACTAATGGAATATAGTTTTTTCAACAAATATCTAGGTGAATGAGATTCAACGTGCAATGCAGAAGAAATCTAAAAGGGGATGGGTTTATATCAGGGTATCAGATTATGAAAAATTTCCCACTAATGGTAGTTCAAATATTTTAAACTAATGCGTTTAAAAAATACAGGTTTAGTTTCATGTTAGGTAAAGTGAAATCAATAGTTATAAACAGCTGTTACTTTAATATTTAAAATAGAGCTCTCAGTCATTTACAAATGCATTTTAATACAATGAAAAGTAAAGCAGTATACACAGCTGCCCTTTCATTCTCATCAAACATTTTAGGTAATAACGCCAAAAATATTCATTTCTTTTAATAAATGGCAAAATTCAATCAATTTCTTTGGAACTGGATCCACTGTAAAAGAGTCTGAGTGATTTAAAAAAAGACTCCTTAGCATATCATTTTTCAAGGACAAAAAATAGCCTTTGTACGCGGACAAGGTACCTTGGTAATTAAGGCTTTCATTTGCTAACACAGAATTCCTGAGTTCGATTCTTCGTCAAGATGAGAAATCTCTATGAATTCATCTTAAATTCTGCATGCGTTCAATAAATCTACACTATTCTACTTGTATTTAATGTAAATAAATCATAAACGACCATCTGAAACGTCTAATTATAATCATCTGCCTTACTACTTTTCTCTTATTTCTAATCGAAATGAGGAGTGTCCTATTGCCACACTTTTTCCTTTCAACATTTTCTTCTGCGTGTCTTACAATTGATGCTGTGTGTTTTCTACCAATGATCTCAAAAAGTGTCAAAATTGTACATTATGGTACACATCACATGGCTTCATGAATTAAAAACGAGCGAATTAAATCTTTCATAAATCAACTACTCGGTAAATTTTTGCGAGGATCAAGATTATCTCCGCCAAACAAGCAGTCGGTCTCCCGTAAAACAAGATCTTTCTTTGGTATACGTTGAATTGTATCGGGTACCACATACCACATTGTCTTGAGATCAGAAATCGACCATTACCCAGCTTTAGGCTGGATCTGGACTTGTAAGAGAAGAGCATTTAACTCCAATTGAAAGATCACATTCTCAATATATATATATACATACATTTGCAGGCTGACCGAGGTTTATGTCACGGTCAGAGAAGAAAATTAGAAGTTTAATAAAAGATGTTAACCGTTGTTAAAACTCTTGTGAAAAGATTTATTCAAAGTAGTTAAGTAAAATGTCACTGTAGATTCAATTGTTCTTTCAGAATTACGAAACGAGCAGCTTTAGAAAGCACATCGAAATGAAGATTAGCAACAATTACTTTAAAATTGATGGAGAGAATCACATATTTTTGCGGTTGGTTTTTTTCGGAATTGTCGCCATGCACCGCTTCTGTTGAGAAGCTTTCTAGCTTATGGTCAGTATATTGAATCAAAACAGTTTGTTAGAAAGTGCCATATGGCGAGCGTTGAAAAACCTGTAAGCCGGTCGATGCTAAAGGATCGTTATGTCCGTCATCAGAGTAAGCCGGATAGTTCTCTTGTGGATTTAGTTCGAAGAGATGGGAAGTGCGCAAAGACGTTCTGATCAAGATCTCTCA